CTGAGGTAGCCGTCGGGGGCCACAAAGTGGATTCTAGTAATAATTAGCATCTCCTCCATTGTGCTGGGCATATACTTACCTCAAGCCAAGGGTATCGGTATTGTTATTCGGATAAAGAAGATTTCTGAGAACTGTGGAGGATACCGTTGGATCAAGTTGTCTGAATACAAGAAACTCGCAGTTGTGAGTTTCAAGCTCCTGCTTGATTGTTCTGAGAATTTGTGTAGCCATGGTAAGGTAGTTTCTCTCTGGCGGTTGAATGAAGGGGTTATAGACGGAGCTTGCGTAGTTTATGAATATTTCTCCCCAGTACATGTAAGTAGGTTGGGACCGCTGCAGCAGTTCTCCAATAGCCCCGACCCCTACCATTGCTGGACATAGTCACGTAGTTGATAGGTGAGTATCCACCATTCTACACCAACATCCATGCTGGAAGAGGCTTCATCTTGTCCCTCACCCTCCCTGCCGGAACTAGTAATGTTGGCCCCATTGAGGAGAAAGGATCTGCTCTTCCTACGGGGCGTTACTGACCCCGGTTCTAGCCCCACCCCAGGATCGAAATCGCTCTCATAATCGGATTCATTATCCAGGTTCTTGGCCTTGCCAGGACGAGAGGAAATTATCCACACCGTAGAATGTCAGCAAACATCCAGAAACAAATTTTAGCACTCTCTCCGCGTCGACGGTTTCAAAGTCTCAGCATAATATCGCTGATCTGAGGATCACAGAGACGGCAAAGAGAACGAATTGTGTCGCGATCACTTGTGTGGAGTCGAGGCGCTGGAGGGCGCGGTTTACGTATTTCACCTGCAGGATTGCAGTTGTGACTAGGATTATAGAGAGCGGGTACACTATTGGGAAGGTGAAAATTCGGTAGAAGGGCGAGGAGAGGGGTGATGATATTCCTTGTGTTGAGAAGACAGTATAACCGCCTACCCTCCGTTAATAACCTCACTGCGAAGGAGGGAGGAGAGGGGATACCGAATAATCCGACAAGCTTCAGATCAATGAATATGTACTTTCTTCCATACTTTGGGGAAATATACATCAACAGCGCAATAAGGCTGCACGTAATCCCATAGTAAACCTCAAAAGCAGTCTGGGTGATAGCCTCAAGGATCTGATGAGATCCGAGCTATATTTCGCAGCACAGCAGCCAGTCAGTACGCAGACGGGCTAGTAAAAGAAATACCAGATTCTGTATTGCCGACCTTCGAAGAGTTTTTCTTCAAAAAAAAACCCCCACTCTTTTTTTTACCAAGTCTGTGCCACCGACATATACCAAGTGACACACCGCTGACGCCGGAGGACCAGATCATCGTACTTAAACATCGGCTACCCGCTTAATGGTAGCCGTGTTTCAGGGTTTAGTCTATTGGGAGTTTTGCCCCCCAAAAGTTCATCTGTTGTTATCCATAGATCAGGTTTAGGCTGGCTAGGATGAGGAAACAATAGCTATAAGATGAGGGGATTGGTTAGTAGGATGCAAGAAAGATAGAGGAAGGTACGATAGGGAAGGAAGTAGAATACATATAAAGACATTGCCGGTACACGATCAGCCACATATCGGAAGAAGGTCGGAGTGGCCTTAATTTGGTTGTGCAAACGTGATCTATACATTTTAAAGAAGATAACGATCTTGAAGGGCCTTGCTGTCCCTTCCTGCTACAAGTGGAGGTCAGGCAGTAATTGTGTAGGTGATTCCGTCCACCCAGACTCGAGGACTCTCGCTGGAAATGCCCTCCTTATCCTATTAATACCGGGGCTGTAGGTGAGGTCTGGTATTTTTGACGAGCCTGAAAATGTTCCAAGAAAGTGATCATGAGATATACAATTATCAGTAGAGGCTAGGGATCTTCATAGAGTAAATGGACATATTAATGAGGGCATCCGTTATTGCTCCAACGGCCAACCTTCGAAGAACATTCCTTCTAAAGGAAACATCCACTCTTTTTTTTTTACCAAGTCTGCTCCACTGGCATATACCAAGCGACAGACCGCTGGCGCCAGAGGACCAGATCATCGAACTTATACATCTCCTCCCTTCTTTTTCTCTCTACAGACCCTCACTTAAGAAAACAAGAAACCATGGCCAAACAAAAACCTTGATCGGCGAAAGTGAGATACAGGGCCGCGGCCAGCCTATGTTTCCTGGCGGAGGACGTGCCCGCTGTGCTACTGATTTGCCCACAGTTGCCAGAGGTGGACGAGATTATTCGGGGTGTGGACAATACCAGGAGGGTGTTGGATGGGGTGTTGGATGTGGTGCAAAGAGGACTTTTGGATGGGGATGGAAATGGGAAGGATGTTGAGAGGGAGGTTGTCGAGAGGTGTGGGTGGACTTTGGATGCAGTTGTTGTGGATCTTTTCTTGGGGAGGGGGAGGGTGTTACAGGGGTTGAGGGGAGAGGGTGTAGTAGAAGAAAGGGTTCGGTGGGTATGGGTGCAGGACTTGACACTTGGTTTCGTGGCGTCAATACATTATTGAGTGGAGCAGGCTGGTATCATAGCTAACTACGTTCTCGAGACGTTGGTGGTCTATCATTGGCCAAACGAACGCTCGAGACAATTTCAAAGCTAATGTCTGATAACAAACGCCCATCTCAGCATCCTTTTTCTCTCCCTCTCCTCCGCTTGTAATACCAAATTCAACTCTACCTACGCTACCGTACAAACGAGCGAGATACTACCCAACCATGCAATGGATAATCTAGCTCTACTGTACAGCAATATCACGAAGTGCCAAAAAGCTCAAGAGTGGGATTAAAAATGATAATTCAAATAATTCAAGACTTAGTTGACAGTGGGGACATATTCCTGCTGTCGCATTTCTTCCTCCGCTTGAACCCGAAGTCGTTGCAGACTTAACGGGAGCCGTGTTCCCGGGTCCAGTCCATCGGGGGTTATGCCCCCAAAAAGTTCACCAATCGTAATCCATGGATCGGGATCAGGCTGGCTAGGAGGAGGAGGAAAGATTGACTACAAGATGAGGGGGTTGGTTAGTAGGATACAAGAAAGATAGAGGAAGGTACAGTGTTCGCAAGCGGCCAGTCCAGCCAGGCTTGAGGTCCAGGGCGGCCGACCTGGGCTTCTTTGGTGACCGGCGGGGCCGGACTGTAGGTCATAGTCCGGCTTTACTGGCCTATCTGACCGGGCCTGGCCGGGCTGTAGATATCTGCAGGCTTTTGGATATCTGCGGGCATCTTCAGATATCTGCAGGCATCTTCTAACATCTGCAGGCATCTTCACATATCAGTGGTGCACAGACGCAATATTTACTGGTCAGGTGGCATATGCCAAAAGCCTACCGGTACCCCTAGGCATCCATGTAGCCCATAGGCTTCACCAAAGCCTGGCCTACAAAGCCCAGGTCAGTTTCACTTTGACCTGGCCGGGCCGGACTATGCATCTGCAGGCTATCAGCAGGCCGGCCTGGCCGCCTGCGAACGCTGGACAAGTGTTTAACCAACTATAATAGGATACCGCGGGAAAGTGAAGAAAACTGTCACATGAAATCTGAACAGGCACATTATATGTTGAATACAGTATCATACCTTGCCATTAAAACTCCAATAAACGTATATTGTTGTAGGTATTTGGAGTTGACTCTCCTAGTGGCCACTGTTTATTCCCATTTCTTATATTATTTGTCCCAGGTAAGTTAGCGGTTATCGGGAGTGAGATTGTAGCTGGCGTACTCCCTTGGAACTGCAAGTGGCGGTTGTGACGCCCGGTTGCAACTTTGGCGTGAGTATGTGACGCGCAGGACCCATTTCAGGTACTCAAGTAGAATGTGTTGTCCTCTACAAGTATCTCCTACAACACCTTTACTTTCCACAAAAATCTTCTCCAGCCACACAAGCGACTCTGCAAGACTGAAGATGTCTTCCAGCTTTCGTCGTAAGTTCTGCCCCCCCCATTCAATCCTTATGTGGCAACCTGTTGACAAATTCACTCCGGAAAGAACTCGCTTGGGAATTCGGAGGGCCCATTGCTACGACCACCTCCAGGGGTTTCCTGATTACGATGGATCTTTTGATCAGAGCCGATGCTCGCCATACCAACAAGCGGATAGACAAAACCAATGAGAAAATCACGACTATTGACAAGAAAATCGAGACTACCAATCGAAATCTTCGCACCGTCCGCGTCAACCTGTTCTGCGAAATTATCCTAACACAAGCCCTGGGAAGAGAAGCGTTCGTGATAACTGCCCCTAATGACAAACAACGGGAGGTGCTTGAGGACGGATTGGAAAAATTTGCGTAACGCGTAAGGAGTGGTGGAAAGGATTGTGGAGGGTCCTAAGGTAGGTAGATACATTGATTATCATCTATCTCAATTGGTTATGCTAATGTGCTACTGAGTGCATGGACTTACAAGAGGGGGGATAAGTTAGAGGTGGGGGCAGGGCTCCTTTTTTTTTTTTTTTTTTTAGAATGAATCGAGATAAGTCAATTGGAGACTTTTGTGTTACACTTGCTGTCAGACTCATGTGACCATGGTAAACCCACAGTGACAGAATAGTATTCTATTAATCCTTTGAATCTACCATTGCATATTGCCCGAGTAAGATTGCACAATGTCATAATAGAGAAAAGATCGGGAATTGAAACAGTCATCGACTCTCACTCGGGTTCTTAGTCTAAGTTATGCGGAAGTTGAAGGACCCCGCATACCTTCTAGCCGGGTCACAAGGCTACTAGTATCCTCTAAGAAATTGTATTGAAACTGTGCACCCCAACACAGCAAGTGCCCTCACCCTGAGAGAGGCCGCGAGATAGATGCAACGATCAGGGCAGCGCAGCTTGACTATGTCTGTCAACATTCTGGCCAGAACCCCCCAAACCTACGCATGCGATTTGGCCACCATGTCATATTCCAACATCACGATACGAACCTCCAACTTCATTCTGGGCAGCTCTAACGGTGATTGCGGAGGAGGAGGTGGTGGCGGTGGGGGAGGTGACACCCTGATCGTGCTGTAGGGATCCGTAGAAGACCTACCCTCTGGCGACTCAAGTTGTGAAAATTCTCTGTTTTCATTGTTCTACATTCTCCAATTTTAGGAAGAATATCATCCCTCTCCTTAATCGTGAGACCGAGTCGGGTAGCTTGATGGGAGCTAGAGCCTGATAGAGGCTAACGATCCGGGGGTTGCAGGTCAAACTTGGGTGCAATTGGTACTAAATACCAAAACATGAGTACCTTCTCTTCATCACGAGTGCAACATATGAATAATGTTACACAACCGACCTGCGGGCTTTGATGGACGTAAAGATTCGCAGCCTCTTAGACCTTACGGATGAGTCCGAGCTAGTAACGGCTCCCTCCTATCGGAACCTGCTCTGAGGAAGGGTATACTAATATAGCGAAAAACCAGCTCCGACGCAGCCGCCTCCGCCTCCTATACTCACTTCAAGAACACACCCAGCTCCACCACCGGCTGCACTACAACCGCGACCAAGTCCTCAAACTCCTGGAATGTTTGAGCGGCGTGCGAAGCACCCACTTTCAACCGGTCAACCAAACAGCCATCGGTCTTGTCTCGCGCTACGGAAATGTCCCATGGCTTAGACCGGCGCCCGGAAACAGTGTGCCCTTGGAGAACCCAGCGCACCGGGCCCTGTAAACAAGTTTGCCACATCAGGGTCAAAGGTCTATCGCTTTGGTGGAGGAGGCCCCCAAAGCGTTGAAGCCAGGGGCCATCACTCCGCCCACGAGATTGGGCACTGGGGAACTAATTTAGATGGCGGTGGTAATGAAACTGGGGTGGGGATCGCTGGGAAGTAGTGAGGGGCCCGCTGATGATCAGTATGATCAATATTATGGTTCATGATCGGATTGGTGCATGGGGGTGGTTGTATTTGTCCCTCCCGCCCCCTTCCCGTTTTTTTCTCTTCCGCTTGTTTTAAGTTACCCATTTTATTCTTCTTCCCTCACAAGCATTGCCCTATTGGTTGGAGTTGTTTGGAGTTCTATTGGATCCTCGTTTTACCTTTTATGCCTTTTTTCTTCAAAAATTCACCGATGGGGTTTTTATTATCCTGAGATGGCATTTGTGCCACGACTCGGTCTCGTCACATAGAATGGCAAATAGATTGTTTCCATACATAAGATTGTTATTACTATTTCTCCTTTCCATTTTGTTGGAGCGGTGGTGCCATAGCTATAGGGAGGAAGTGTGAGGGCATGATGTATACTACAATACTGGATTTTGGGGGTTGTTGGGATATCTTAATAATCCATCATACATAGCATGATATACTATGGATCTTTAAATATTGTCATGTTTTGTGTATTCTTAAGCTTGGAAACTCTATAGCTAGTGGTTGTCCGCCAGATGATTACAGCATTGTTGTACTAGAGGATGGAAACCCTAGTTGAAAAGCAACTTATATAATATTCCCTCTCCCCTCTCTCGCAAAAATGGATAGAAAGCTTTTTACCAAGGATATCTAAAATGGAGTAGGAAACTTCATGGCCGACCACTGGTTGCCGCATGGGGGTCTTCCTCACAAAACAGCCCCACCCGCTCCCGAACCCGGTAACCACCCTTCGCCGATCCTCCTAGCCTCCCCTACAAACCTCTTATGATACATGCAGTCATTCTCCCATCAGCCCCGCCAGCACCCAACTCATAAAACATTTTACAAGAAAACCGAGTGTATGTCGTCGGTAAGACTCGAATAACCTACTTCCACCCATCCATCATCAGCTCCTCCTCCACTCCACTCCACGCCACCAATCAAGCAAAACTCATCCTCTTCAACTCCCCATACTTAACCCCCAAGCCACCGCCAGAGCCAAATCCTCAGCAACTACAATCTTAACACCCGCATTCGTCAACCACCCGTATGCTGCTTGCTCCTCGTCTATGCTGTATAGAAGGCCACAGTCGCTGCCGGTGCTGGACTAGAGCTTCAAGCGGACTGGAAGAAGTCCCGCCTGGCATGCATCAAGAAGTGGTATTTTAGTGTCGACATGGTGGATGTACGGGTCTTCCCCCTTCTACCTTCCACGCAGCAAACTTCGAGCAAATTCGATATGAAAGCTTATACGGGTCGGGAGGGTTAGTGAAAGTGACAATGAAGTGAGCTATCTAAAATTCCATCTGACAACACCCACCAACCACCCCAGGGAATATCACCCATGACTAGTGTTGTTCACGAGCCGGCTCGAGTCCAGGTCTGGACTCGGCTCGAGAGACCCCTGGACTCGAGGGCTCGAGCCCAGGTCGCACCCAGACTCGAGGACCCGAGCCAGGCTCGAGCCGCCAAGAGGCTTGAGTCTAAAGTGGCCACGATACCTCTACACACTGCCATTATCACTCAAATCAACCAAAAATTGTATATAGCAACTTGAAAACAAATACAACTAGCCAAATGACCTTCCCACTATCCCCGAGTCCAATTCCTGACTCGAGTCGGCTCGTGGACCCCTGTTCGAGCTGGCTCGCGCCTAGTGACCACCTAGGCTCGAGTCCGCTCGGCTCGTGCACAACACTACCCATGACAATCCCCCATTATGAAATATTTTTATATATTTGGCAGTGCAGGAGTTGCCAGTACGCACTAGTTACATCAGTCCCGGGCTCCACATTTAAGTAGTTTACATTATGATTCGAGTTGTCAAATCGTTCGATGAAAACTTTAAATTTCTCATAGAATTCCTCCGTACCTGTCTTCTTGTCATCGGCTACCACCCCGGCATGGATACTGAGGATATCGAGTGTTTGTTTATGCCCTGGAAAAGTCAGTCTTGATGCTTAAGTAGAGATATGACACACTGGAGCTTACTCACTGATTAACCGTACATCTGAAGGATGCATTCCGTAAAGTCTGCGGTACACCATAGTATCGGTTCTCCTGTCTGGCCCATCATGAAGGAGGGCATCCGCAGCTGCATCGCCTCCATGCGCTACCACATTACCCTCTTGGATAATCTTGAAATCCCTCGCCGTGGCATCGTGAAGCTTATCCCGCCTATAGGTACTGATAAACCTTTCGCGCACTTGTCTGTACTCCCGAAGAGCAAGGGTCAATGTCGACAGACGGTCATTCACCACGCCCAGCTCTTTCTCCAGAGAAGAGATCCTATCACTCTGAGAAGCGATCCTATCATTCTGAGAAGCGATCAGATGTTCCGTTATAGAAACGCGCAGCTTCAAATCGCCCAAATCAAGACCACGGCGGTTCCCGACAATAGCTACTCCGTGTACCCGTTCAACCTCCAGTTGTCCCTTCTCGAGTGCCTGTCCTAGCGAGACTTTTGCATCCATTATTGTTTGCACGTCGGAACTGACTTTTGCTACGGCACCTAAAATCGCATCGCACTTTGGGTGATCTGCACTTTCTGCCGAACTTTCCCTGCTTTCGCTCCATTCCTCCAGGCGCTTGGTGAGCTGTGCCTTATTTCCTTTTGTCTGAAGTCCAGCGGCTTTGCATTGCTTCCGAAGGTCCTCCACAGTAGGGCCCTTGCCCATGATTGTTGTTCGAGTATTGCTTCTGTGGGGGACTGCTCGTTGTCAGATCCGAGGGTGAGAGACTTTGTCGCTTTTTCCTGCTAGAGGTGAATCTATCGGGATGGAAGAAAGTCGGGTGCGTTTCTATCTTGAGAAGCGGACGCGGAAACTCGGTTGGGAGATAAAAGAGGTGGTTAAAGAAAGCGAGTACGTCTCCACTTTGAGAAGTGGAAGAGGAAGCTCGCTTGGATGATAAAAGCGGTGGTGAAAGATATCAGGAGTGTTTCCACCCTGAGAAGCGGAAGAGGAAGTTCGGTTGGGAGACAAAAGAGGCGGTGAAAGAAATCGGGTGCTTCTCCACTTTGAGGAATGGAAGAGGAAGCTCGGTTGCGAGATAAAAGCAGTGGCGAAAGAAATCCCCCGCGTTTCCACCTGGAGAAGCGGAAGCAGAAGCTCGGTGCAAGGTGGGGTGATAAAATAGGAGGGGGAAAGAAATCCTGTGTGTTTTTGGCAACACTTAAGTATGGTGCAAAAGGCCTAAGGGTAAGCCCTCCGATGGGATAGAAATGCCGTGGCGTGTGATGGGGGATTAGGGTACAGGACCCACTAACTCCAATAGACAGGGACCTATTTGCGAGTTAATCTCAATTAACTGTTCAATAACTTCTGACTAAACATTATATAGCACAGGTACACCATATGACGATACCGTACCAGAATACCCTCTGTTTGGCATGAAAATTGCAGGATCCCCTTCAAATCTTGTGCCGGGAGTTAGGGGACAGGAGCAAACATGTGATTTACAGTGTTAGAATTTCACGAGTGTCAAAAGTGTTCAGCAGCGGAAGGTTCATTGATTGAGTCTATCTAGAGGAAACAACAAGAACAGGTGTCCTTTTATAGCCGCCCACTTAGACTGAGAGCCGAGCTGGGTTCTCGCCTCTCTCTCAGAGCAAACAGTAGACGCGCATCCTCCGGAAGAGGTGACAAGGAAGAATACACAAGTAAGTATGAATCCACAGCATGTTGCATGCAACTTGCAACAACCCATCTTAAAGCAATACCAAGTAACATGCAATATCTAACATACAGGGAGAAAGTCAGCCGAGTGATTTATTATGATCACAGACTCTACACTAGCATACATGCAACGGACCCTCGTAGGCTGCGACGCGAGTGATCATTCATGATGGCAGATGTTACAAAACTATGGTAATATACAACCTTGCTTGATTTTTCGGTCGTTGCAGTACGTTAGCTGGTCACTTGTTTTTATTCAGCAATGAGAATATCTCAATGATCTATCATAGATACGATGATATGCTGTGGATCCTCTCAGATGGCCATGTCATGTGTACTCTTAAGCTTTGAAATTCCATACCTAGTAAATTTAGTCGTCTGTGGAGTGATTACCGTATTATTGTACTCGGGTATTGAAACATTAGTTCAAGCCAACTTATATAACGTTCGCCCTCCCCTCGCCCCCGAATAAGAACTGAAAGCTTTTACGAAAGATATCTATAACAAAGAGGAAAACCTCATAGCCTACCACCACTTGCGACGCGAAAACCTTACTCAAACAACAGCCCCTCCTGCTCCCGGATCCAGGACCCACCCTTTGCCAACCCCTCTAACATCCTCCATGAAGGCCTTATTGGTAGCCATCCACCCACCAGCCCCGCCAGGACCCAATTTGGAAAACGGATCCCAAACAAGCCGAATACACGCCATCTGCAAAAGCTCTAAAAACCTACTTCCACCCACCCTTCATTACCTCCTCCTCCACTCCCCTCCACCAAACAAGCAAAGCTCACCCCCTTCAACTCCCCATCCATAACCTCCAAGCCACCGCCAGATCCAAATCCACAACAACCACTAATGATAACACCCGTATCCGTCAACCACCCGTACGTGGCCAGCTCCTCGTCTATGCTGTATAGAAGACCAAAGTCGCTGTCGCCGCTGGACTTGAGGGGTAAGCGGGACTGGAAGATATCCTGCGTCGTGTGCATCAGGAAGTTGCATTTTAGCGTCGATGGGGATGATGTGGGCAATTGGGGGGTGGTGTCGAGATGGAGGGATGAGTTCTGTATTTTCTTTTTCTCTTTCCGGTTTTTAAAAATTTGTTAGGTTGGGGATGGGGTGGGATGGGATAGGGGCAGCGAGGATATGTGGGGGCTGATTAGAGCGATGCAGGCTGTTTTGGGTGTTAAACATTTCTTACTTTTTTGTTTTTTTTTGTTTGATGTGTGAAGATTGTGGGGCAGGCAGAGTGCTTGATGTTTGGTTCATCGAGGTTTCTTCCGTGCCGGTAATCTTTTATACCGTCACCTCTCATGTCGTTGCAGAAAAACAATTATCCGGGAGAAATATCCACGGCCTGGTAATGCCTCCACCAGCACGCCTCCCCAGCAATCTCCACCCCACTTCCATTACCGCCGCCATCTAAATTAGTTCCCCCAGTGCCCAATCTCCTGGACGGATTGATGACTCCCGGATTATCCACTTTGGAGGCCACCTCCATCAAACCGATAGAGCTCTGACCCTGATATTCCAGACTTAATCTCAGGGACCTGTGCGCCAGGTTCTCCATTTCCATGTTCTCTCCGGGCACAGATCAAATCTATGGGACAATTCCTCAGAGCGAGACGAGACAGATGGTTGTTTGGTCGACTAGTTGGAAGTAGTTGCTTTGCGCGCCGCTCAAACATTCCCGGAGTTTGAGGGCTTGGCCACACTTGCAGTGTAGCAGGTGGTGGAGTTGGGTGTGTTCTAGGAGTGGGTATTGGACGCGGAGGTAGGTGTCGGAGCTGGTTTTTCACCATATTAGTATACCCTGCCTGAGAGCGGGTTCCGGTAGGAGGCAACTGTTACCGGGTGGGACCTGTCCGGAAGGGCTAAGAGGTTGCGGATCATGACGTCCATCAAAACCCACAGGTCATTTTTGTAATAGTATTCATATGTTGCAATGGTGGTGAAGAGGAAGTAGAGAGGTCTCCGGATCTATTAATGATTGTAAGCAAGTTTCACCTGCAGTACCCCCGTATCTTTAACCTCTGTCAACCTATAGTTCCCATTAAGCTATTCAACTCACTCTCCCAGTTAGGGAGAAGGATGATATTCTCACCAAAAGTCTTCAATGTAGAACGATGAGAACAGACAATTTCCACAAGTTGATTCGTTGGAGGGGCCAGCGGTTCTGCGGGGTTTAAAGTAGGTGCATGGGGTGATAAACATGTCCTGTAAGCTAGCAAAGGGTCAGCCCGAGCTGAGCGCAGTGTTAGCCAACCCTTGAAGGGATATATGTATCATACCAAAATCCTGACTATCGGGTAACGATACAGGTCACCAGGATCCTCAGGATCCCCTCAACCAACCCAAAAACATTCGCTATCAATTCTTCATCAATCACTCTTATTGCAGAGTCAGTAGCGTTCAAAGCCCCTAACTGCCAAATAGCTAACAGGAAATTCTACCCATGTCGCTACATCTCAAGCGCTGTATCCGAGACACCTGGTAAAGCGATTCTTCAAGTGACCACCAGAGCCTTCCATCCACAGGTCCATTAACCTGATGAAATGGTCCTCTTCTAACATCCTCTCAAATGTCTTCCGCGCTCCGCGGCTGTCATACAGCAGAACGAGCGCAACAGAGTGCAATTGAAGGGCCAAAATCCCGTGTACACCGTCGTCAGCCACACAATGCTCCCCCGCTGAAGGAATGTCGAACTGGGGCTAAAAACGTGGGCGGGCCCAACCTCCGTTAATGGGCCAACCATGCGCCGGGGGATATAACTTCTATATTCCGTAAACAATGGAGAGTCCAGGAACTTGTAAGCACACTTCGCCAAACCGTACCAAGAAAACCAAGTGCCCACCTGCAATCTCCATATGTCAAAAATTGAGGTCCTGAGTAAACAAAAAACTGGAGACCCCTAATTCCGGGTATTTCGGTAGAAACAACGGAGGGAGGAAGTGGCTGTCGCAAGGAGGAGAGTGTTCGTGGAGGGGCATTGCACCCGTGAACGAGGCAGGGGTTGCTAGATAAGACATCAGAGCCCCGTCAATGAGCTTCTATCGCCAATCCGCAATGGGAACTGGTGTTATCATCTAGCTCTGTTAGGGTCAGCAGCAATCACACAATCGAGAAATATGGTGTAGAGGAGGGCCGCTTTTATTACCCCAGAATTTCCACGTGTTCTCCAGGGTGTGGGCGACATCGAAATCAATCCTCCCGTCTTCTCTCCTCTCTTATGCTGGGGGCGAGTGGCACGAGATGGGTAACTCAGGAGAATAAAGACCATGTGGGAACAAGAAGAGGAGAGCGAGCGAGAGCTGGCCGGTGCTGTGGTGCCGAGTGTGCTAGCTATAGGGCCGGAACTCAAGCGACTGATTGCATTGGTTCTCCTCTGATATGACCCGCCCGCTCGTTACTTCAATTGACGTGCACAAGCGTCATGAGAGCAGGCAGGGGAGTGGGGTGAAGGGGCACCGGAAGGGAGGATTTGATTTGCTATGCTGTGGTGTGGAGAGTGTGGAGGGTTGGGTGACAGAAGATCGGGTGGGGAAAATAGTCAGGGGGGGGGGGTGCCCTGGTGGTGGAATTCGGAAAATAGACTAGGGCGAGGTCGGGTGTCAGGACGTTAGCAACGGACAGGCGGTCCGAGAGGTGATACCACGTTATCTAGCGAGGATAGTCAGGCACTGATACGTTCAAACAATATTTTTGTCCCTGCTTTGTCGTTAAAATGCAATAAAAGGTAATAAAACGCCATATACTAGCTCTCTATAGCAATGCCCAATCAATTCGAGGCTCTGGCTTTGACGCGATTGCAATACCCGCCACATGTGCTTCCTATTTCAGCACAAAGGGGCCCGCCTTTACTCGCTAGATAATGCGGTACCGAAATCCGGGGTGTGTGGTGCCTTGTGCCCGCGGAGTCTCTCTCGGAGAAAAAGGGTGCGTTGCTCTGTCCAGGTAACTTACCCGGGAATAGATGGGTAATGCAAAACTACTGATGGGGTCGCTGATGCGTACTAAGAAAACCATGCAGAATTCGGGTACCTTTTTCATAGTCGTCCAGGCAGGGGAGATGAACCTGCCGGCATATGAGGTAAACAGCCAAATCGAGATCTCCCTGCAACAGATCCCTTGCTACCTTCCGGTGTGTACCGCCATAGCTTCCAATAACCCTGTCATGCGCCGCAAGTGCACTCCATTCATTTTCTCTGATTCCTTATACTTTCCGAGATCGCTTATAACACCTGGCAGGTCAGATAAGCACTCCAAGGCATCTGAATCAGTTGGAACCACGATTCTCTATCACATTCCGCAGTCCCTGCTCTGCCTCCTTTGCCCTCTCTTAGTGTGCACTCCCCTGCCCAAGGAGCATGAATATGATATGACGGTTATCCCAGCCTTGCTCCTTGCTCGTCTCGCGAAATCTGATACATCGACGGATCTGTGCTTCAGCATTGCTGTAGGAGCCCAAACGTAGAAAGTACTGAACCGTGTAGAAAGAAACGTCTTCAGCAATAACATCTACTCTGCCGTTGGTTACGGCAAGTGCATGTGGAATGTATTCTTCGCAAATGTCCTCCAGTTAATGCTTATATTTAGGGAACATTCCTGAACTCAACTGGAGTGCGGTGGTACTCCATTGTCAAACTCTGCTGATGATAAGTAGGCATCAATCGATAGCTAGATTAAACGATGTAGCTCGTAGAAGGTCTTATCTTTGCGTTTGTTGGGAGTAACCAGTGAGAATCCCAGGAGTTTGGCAATCGCCTGACGAAATTAAAACAGGAAATCCATTGATTGAACGCTAGATTCGCGCAGGAGCTGTGCAGGTATACTTTGACGATCCAAAAGGGCAATTAGCCGCAACAGATGCCCCGCTGCCGGCATCTGTTTCGTAATTCGGCCAAAGATGATAATGTATATGCTCTAAATACTTTCTGTCATGTCAGACTCGCGCCGGATATCACTAAACTTCTCTAAAAGTAGCTCCTTCATTCGCTCGTCGTTCCGCTGGAATATGGTCCAGTACTCGGAGGGTGTTGTTCCCGTCTCCGCCATGAATACTGCTGAACCTATAACCGCCAGTGGCAGGTGATCCACCGAGTCTAGGATCATCATAATTATCTTTCCTTCCCAATCTCACAATCTTCTCCAGTTGCCCGAGTGTTTCCAAAACAACGCTTGAGCTTCCTCCTCAGCCACTTCTCCGACATCAATCCTCTCACACTCCTGGTGAAATACACCCCAGCAAGATCTAGTCATGAATATTAGAGTACGTCTGGGTCCTTGCAGTAGGAACCTGGCAATAGGACTGCTGTTGCCACCAAAGTCCTCCCCATTATCGGCACTGTCAATAACCAGAAGTCCATTACCGTTATCTGGGCCTTCAAGCCACCTCATTATATTCATTAGGAATCCCTCTTCTCCTGTCTCAGCACTGCCCAGAGCAGTTCGGACATGTTGGGCAATAGCCCTGAAACCCTCCCTAAACTTTAACAGTCCGCTTCCCTACACCCAGAAATTATCACCATTGCTCTCACTTGCGCACTGATAAACGTATTTGAGGGTAAACTAAGTTTTTCTGTGCAAGGCTAGTAAACCCTTCAGATACCAAATTAATTAATACCATACCCAGAACCACCTAATCCATGAAGGGCGATCCAGTTGTGTCCGTCTGGATTGCAAAGTGCCTTGACCGAGTCAATGAGACATTTACGGCCAGTGAATTGTCTGTTCCTGCCATTGGGAATTATCTGATAAGGCCGAGATGTTTCTTCCGATTACAGTAGTAGGCAAGATCTCTCCCGGAATGCTCGCGGGAATGCCGATCAAACCTCTGCCCCCAGATCTAAATATACATCCTTGATATATTGTTCTAATATTGACCGCATAGT